CAGCGTCCGAAACTCCAGCGAGGTCATCGCATTCGTTAACAGTTGCTGCTCCGTCCAACATTTTCATACTGCAGATTTCTCAACCCTGTTCACGAAACTGCCTCATTACGTTATGACGCGCTCGGTTATCTTTCTCCCTGTGCTTTCACAATGCGCACGCCGTCGCTATGCATATCACCACCAAGACCATTCGCTATGTTAGCCACTCAAGATCATTTGGTTATGGTACAGTGTATTCTTCCACTGGAATTGGCAATATCCTGCGCACAGTAGATGGCGAAGCCCATGTGCGTTTCAGCGGTTACATCTTCCAACAGGTTAAGGGCATCCCTATGGGAAGTAACGCAAGCTCCGATACTGCTGATCTCACCCTTTCCGTACTTGAATTTAAGTTCAGCAGGATCCCCAGTAATCCCCCACTTCTTCTTTGTCGATATGTGGACGATCTGCTTGTGCTTAATTATCCAGATTCTCGTTCACTTCTTCTGTATTTGTATGGTCAGTATCTGGACATTGAAATCACTGGTTCTGGCAATTCCGTTGATTACTTGGATATAACCTTTTCTTTAGATAAAGCCCGCATAGGACCCACACTTTGTTGTAAATGTGACCAATTCACTTTCCCGATCAACAAGTATTCTTCACTTCATAGCAGTGTGTACCAATCGGTCTATGATGGCACGATTTATAGTCAACTAATACGATACTCGCGCACTGAGTCCCTCTCTCAAGGATTCATATTCTCGGCACATCGCCTGCTTCTTTACTATTCCGCTAAAGGCTTCCCTCCCGATCGTCTTCATCGGCTAGTCGGTGCCTTCATACACAAAAATAGGCCACATCTCGCCAAATATTTTCCTTCTACTGCTGCGTGATACGCTGCCTATCCGCATGACTTAAGCTCTTCTCCTTTGTTAGATACGCCGCCTTACGTTATCGGCTCAGCTTTCCCCTCGGACCGCGTATATTTGTTTCCTATTCCAGATATGGCTACTACCAAGCGCAACAACCACTGCGGCGACAACAGTTCCAACAGCAGAACCTCCACCATCGGGATTTGTTTCCATTCCTTCTTAAACCTTTTTACCTACGTTTTCTGCACCTTCTCCTACCTCCCTCTCCTCCTTTTCCTTCAGTTTCCATCATTTTCCTTCTCCCCTCTTTTTTCTTCTTTCTTTGCTCTTTTCCCTTCTTCCTCCGCTTCTTTCATCTTCCTTAGGCATTGCGACCGTTATACTGACGAGATCCAGTCGCAGTGCGGAGTTAAGTTAATGGACCGAAGTTAATGGACGTCTTAATGGACGCAGTGAGTTTAATGGACGCAGTGACGCAGTGAGTTAATGGACCGAAACGTCTTATCTCACTTTCACTGTTAGCTTTCATTACTTACTCCTGCACTTTCGCATCCCGCCATCTGCACTTCTAGAGCTGACCCGGAAGCTGCAATCTACTTGAATTCTTTGAGTTCTGGCCGTCGCCTCAGAACTTCGGTTTTTCAGATTTTCTGGTTCGCGAGCTAGAGGATTTTCCCCCCCGTAACTTTCATGGGGCTATAACTGAGAACTAAGCATGTCTGGGGGCTGAATTTGAATTCTTTGAGTTCCGCATGGACGCGGACCATCCCCTCAAAACTTCAGCTTCTCAGTTTTTCTGGTTCCCAACCTAGCAATTTCCCTCTCCCCCAGAAATTTCCATGGAGCCACACGTGAAAACCACACGCGCATGGAGACTGGATTAAAAATCTTTGAATTCTGCGTGGGCGGGGAACATCTTTGAGTCCAAATTGGACGATTTTGCATTTGCATATATGCAAAACGCATTAAAACGCATATTTTTGCGATATAGCTGGTCTGTGTGTATGTGTTTTCGGTTCCACATTCAAGTTACCATCCATAGTGACGAAGTTTACGAAGGAGTAATCTCGAGAACCAGAGAAGACAGGGGGATGAAATTTCACAGGTGCTTTCTATATCCTTGTGTGAGCTAAAGATTTCAAATTCAGCTTAATTAGTTATCACTGTATTAAAAAGTGATATCAAGTCTCTCATGTGCAACTGAAATTATTGCAAACTCAGAAGTCCTCGAAAGCTATTGTTGTGAAAAAAGGGCGGAACTAAAAATTATAAATAGCAAAGCGCACCAGACTAGCCGGTGCGATCATGCGTTTTATGCAATTCAGCGCACCAGACTAGCCGGTGCGATCACGCGTTTTATGCAATTCAGCCCATCGAGCGATTGCCTATCAATGATTTTCACAGCTTTTTACTCTAGTCTATGCAAAAATAGTTCAAACATTGAAAAATAGAAATTTCACGCGCCAGCGCATGAAAGCTGAATTCGAAACCTTGAAAGGGAATATCTTTCCGTAATTCCCGAGTTAATAGTTTACCCGCAAAATTTTCACGAGGTCGTGTGTGACACTCAAGAACGCGGGAACGCTGAATTTGAATGGGCAAGGTTGAGCGTGGGCAGGGAATCATTGTCCCAAATTTTCAGCTTCCCAAACCCCGTGATTCCCGAGTTAATAATTTACCCGTGAAAAACTTTCTTTCACGGGGCAGCACTTGTTACCCGCGGGCAAAGGAAGGCTGAATTTGAATGGGCAGGGTTGAGCGTGAGCAAGGGGTCATTACCCTAAAATTTCAGCCTCCTAGACTCCGTAGTTCCCGAGATATTAACTTGCCCGTAAAAAACTTTCACAGGGTCGTAAGAGTTACCCGCTGGTACGGGAAGGCTGAATTTAAATTTGCCGCGTCACCCGCTGGCGGGAAATACTATACCAAAATTTCAGCCGCCCAGCTTTTGTGATTCCCGAGTTGAAAGTGCGGGACAAAATGTGAGACACACACACACAAACACACAC